TTTCAATTTCTTGCACCTCCCCCAGCCCCAACCAATACTGGGGACTGAAGCCCACAGCGTGCTGGGCAAGTGTTCTACCACTAAGTTATATCCCCACTCCTTTTTATTTTGAGACAACCTTGATTAAATTGTTCCAGCCTTTTGACTCTCCTGCCTCAGCCTACCATAGTATGTACTAGCAGTCTAGTTCTGGCTTCCTCGCTTTCTTGATAAAACCCTTTGAAGTACAAAAGTTTCTTCTTCCTCCTCCTCTTCCTCCTCCCCCTTCCCCTCATCTTCCTTCTTCTTTTTGTTTGTTTTTTGAGACAAGATCTCGCTGTGCAGTTCAGGCCAGCCTTGAACTCACTTTGTAGCCCAGCTGGCCTAGGACTCATGGAGATCCTCCTGCCTCAGCTTCCTGAGTGCTGGGATTTTAAGCATGTGCCACCATGCCCAGCCAGTTTCTACCATTGATGAGGACTCATTTATCTATTTTTTGTTCTTGGCTTGTGCTTTGCTATCACATTAAAGAAAACATAACTTTATCCAAAGTCACAAAAATGTATACTTCTGTATTTACCTAAGAGTATAATTTTAGTTCTTCTATTTAGGCCTGTGCTCCATTTTTACTTAATTTTTGTATTTGGTGTGAGGTAGTGTGTAGGGAACCTCGTTGGGTCTCTTGTACCCTGGAGAGAAAAGGCGGTGGGTATGAGAAAAACAAAGACAAGAGACAAGAACTGGGGTCAGGTGGAGCTACCTGTGGCCTGATGAGCCCAAAAACAGCAGAGGGTTTATTTATACCCTGGAGAGGTGGGTTAATTTTTTGTCTCGGCTGCCCAGCAACCAGTTAACAAGTTACAACGGCGTTTACTCCGAGGAGCGCCCCTGTTCTGAGGCTGGCTTCATCCTGCACGTGTAATTATTTTCCAGCTTAAGCGGCTCCCAATGGTAGTGAGGCAGGGATCTGACTTCATCCTTTTGTGCTATTTGTATTTCTTGTTTGTTTTTTGGGGGGGTTGGGGTTTTTTGGCGGGTATGGGAATCAAACTCAGGACCTCACACTTGCCATGCCGGCACTGCACCACTGAGCTACATCCCCAGCCCTGTATTTATTTAATTTTTTTATGTCTTTTTGAGACAGGGTCTCACTATGCAGTTCAGGCTGGCCTTGAGCTCA